CAGCAAACTTGCTGACAATGCACTCTATAATATAGTCCAATTTAATTTAGAAAACAAGCATTTAAAAAAAAAAATCAACTATATCCTTCAGTCATCTTCCAGCTAGGCAATGCTCTAGAAATGGCACTTGGATAGGATCCAATTTTATAATATCCTCATTATCCTTTGGGTAACTAATACTTTCCTGTACCTACTGTAAAAACAGCATCCTGGTTGTGCTTCTCTGGATCAGTTTTTGCAAGATTTCCGCACAAGACATTCCCAATAAAGATAACAGAATTTCAACACATATTCGTCTGTACTGAGTATTATGACACGTTAGCATTTATACAATCCAGTGCCATATTATGTTTTTTCAAAAGCTAGAGAACAGTCATCTAATGAAAAGTAAGCTACAATTAGCACCAACAATTGCATACCATAAACGTGCTTATGAACTTCTCACGCACTGTATAAGGCATTTTAAACAAAATAGATACTTTAACAATAATGCAGGTAAAGAGATTCAGACTCTAAAATACCAATTATAGCTATCAAAAAGCCCCCCAAATTAAACTGTACTGTAACAGACATGCACAATACCTGCAGTGTTTGCCTGGTTTTAACTTGCATTTTTTATCTTCTGATTGGTTCGCATCATAACAGCATTCATCTTTACACTGGTCACTGTATCCACAATCACACTGTTCTCCTTGTTCAACCAGTCCATTACCACAGATGGGTTGACCTGACTCTGAAAAATGACAGTATAATGTGTACAAAGCACTACAAAGAATATGCAAATAGACTTATAAATGTTAACATTGATTTGCAACAGCATCCAGCTAATTGTGACTGAAAATGCCTGGCCAAGATGGACTTCAGACTAGCGCTCAAATCAACTTGCATTATTTGCTTGCCACCCAACTTAGTAATTCCTACAATTCATAGAATTTTAAGCCTCCGAGTAAAAGGCTTCGTCTGCTAACAGATTCTTGTGTCGATAGGAAATCAACAGTGATAAAAGGAAGCTTTCTGCTAAGTCTCCAATGGAGCAGCATCCTTTCTTGCACTCCTTCTCCTTTAAAAGAGTCTGAGGACCTTGAGGCAAAAGCTGATGGTACTGGGGTGAACTATTACTACTCCAAAACCCAAAACTACTCACTGCACAATCTCACAAAATGTGTAAGAGCTCACATAACAGACTCCAGAAAGAAAATTCCTGCAAAATCCTTTTTTTTTTAAAAAAAAAAAAAAAGTTTAAATAGAATTTCCTGTATTTTAATTTGTGCTCCTTAACTCTTGTCCTTTCACTGGGTGTGACTGAAAGTCGTCTGGCCCACCCCCTCAGCCTTCTCTTCTCCAGATTAAACAGTCTCAGCTCTTGCAGCCTCTCCTCATATGTCAGATGCTTCAATCCCTTAATAATCTCTGTGGTCCTTTGCTGGACTCACTTCAAATCTCAAATTCAATTATTTACTTACAGAATCTTTCAGTAAAAAAAAAAAAAAAAAAAAAAAAAGAAAAATAAGTAAAAAATAATAAATTTCTAATTAGGCCTAATAGTAATAGCTCAGCCATTTGGATTTCAGGATGACTAAATACATACCAACAAAACAATTATTTCTCTTTTTCTCAAGAACTTGGCTGATATTTCGAATGCTACAGACAGAGAACTTGTTGTTGTTAAGTTTGTCCCCAGATGTAGCTCTTGCATACATTATATAATTGCCATTTTCTTTCTGTCCCAAGTTCTTGGATTCTCCTGGAGTGCACTCCATTCCAGAATCATGCTGCAAAACAAATATTTTAGAACTATTTCTATCAAGACAGTTTCTGTAAATTCTTGATATCTTTTTATACATGGGCAAAAGTAACCTGATTTGGTAACCTTAACACAGCGAGAATAAAAGTTTCATAAGAATAAAACACCATCTTATACTATAAGGTATCTTGGACCAAAAAATTACACAGAAAACAGAGGTTTGGGGTTTTTTTTTTCCTCTCTCCCCTCCAGACAACAGTAGCAAGTATCTACTTTCTTAAGTTTTAACTTATTTGCATTCTTGGTAATGTATACCCCAAGTGCATATCCTGGAATGCATATTGACTTGCAAAAGCTGCCATCCCCTAAAAAGAGTGGCTTTATGATCACAAAAGGGTGATAAACATTCTGTGGAATAAAAGCAGGAGGAGTTAACTGGAACAGCAGTCCATTCTTTTCATTTGTTTTGAGGGAGGAGACCTTCAGAATAGTGCAGAAGTCTGTTCTTGCCAGCCAGTGACTAGACCTATACAATATCCAGCATGATGAATGAAATGCATAACAGGTCGGCATACTAGCAATTAGCAGACTGTTAACATACTAAGTTAAGTGTAAAAGGAACTGTAATGCTGTTCTGATGCATGCAGCTTTCCAGAAATAGAAGCTATGTCTCCAGAAGAAGTAGGTAATTTTTAAGACTTTCAACAAAGTTCTGAGAACTACAGAACTTACTATAGTTTGGTAGACCCAAACATGTACTTTCATGTATTTCCCTGGATCAAATGCAACTTTGAGTAAAATTAAAAGAACCAGCTTCCAGACTCACTCAGTCATACTTGTTTTTCAATTTCATGTGCTCGTGTTTTCAGTTATACTTGGAAGGCCTGTTCCCACTCAGAGCAGTGGTATTAGGGATTTTCTCAAGGCACATGAAGAAAGCATTCACACATGAACATGTGTTTTGGAAGAACTCGTCATTCCTGTCATATCTTGATTTAATTTTACTTCCAAGAGTAGAAAGCTTATATGCTTGTTTTAAAAATAAAAAACTCAACGCAGAAAACTCTGGTCTCATCTCCAGCAAAACCAAAAGCATCATGTTTTCAGCTTGCCACAAACAAATCATGTCCCTAAATGACTGGGAGAAAATTTTGCTCTAATACATCGTTCTTGGTATCTTAATCCTCTTCACAATTTTCCTGGGTAAACTTCTACGTATAAATAACTGAACATAAAAAAGAGCCAGTTCTATCTTCACTTGTTGAATAAAATGTCATATTAATCAATTTTGCATCAATTTTTCCTCCTCTCTAGGATATACTAAAATACATTTCAAAGATGTGTGTGACCCTAGTCTTCAATAAAAAACAGAGAAGTTTTTGGGGAATAATAATATAGACCCTTTATAAGAGATTTAACTACTAGAAATAAACAATTCACAAAATGTACTGTTGTACCAGTGTTGTCAAATACTCATAAAAGGGGCTTAGTTTGGTAAACTTTGTTTTTTGTGTGCAATGTACATGCACATATGCACATGCAGTCATGATCATATTTTTCCTGTTCATAAGCAGTAAAAAGTCCATTTGCAAATCATACACTTTGAAATGGCTGAAAGTGAGTTAGCAGATCAACAGTAATACTCACAGGTGAACCAAAGTTATGCCCAACCTCATGAGCAAAAGTGATGTGAGAAACCTTGGGAGGAACATGAGAGCCATAGTTCTGAACAGTGATGATTCCAGTGTTCAAAGACTTCTTCTTACCATCAGAATACAGTTTGCTCTTTTCACATATTCCACCAGAGCTCCCTGCATACAGACAAAATTACAACAGTTCGTCATTTAAGAAAAGAAGTACTGTGTTACTTTTCTAGTAACATTTAGAACAAGAAATAGCTTGCCTCCTCAGTGGATGCTTATGGACTAAAAGTTCTCCTGTGTAATTAATATTAACCCAACTTTCAAAGTAAATTAGATTTAACCATACTAATGCTCTCAGCACTGAATGGATAAATTCACACAAGAAGTTAGCTGTTTTAGAATAGCTATTAAGTAAGAGCTATTTTGGGCTTTCACTGCACAGACAAGCCCTGATTTCATCATACCTGTAGTACAAGACTAGCAGGGTGCAATGTCCAATACAGGTAGCCTCAATCTACGTGCTATTTGGATTTCACTAAGTAAAAAAAACCAAACCAAACCAAAAACCCCCACACAGTAAAATCACAGGAGATCCTCTCTCATAGCAACAGCATTTATATAAAATGCCTAAGATTAGCTATACATCCTTGTGAGCAAAAGGGACTCATTTTTCCACTGTACAAACTAAATCTGAAAATGCTTTTGAGGTGCGGGTTAATCAGACCCATATTTGTAAGGTCAACAATCAAGTGCATCACACTGTTTGGAAAAGTCTTGAAATTGTGACTTTAATTTCACAAATTTTTTCCATAACTTGAGTTTGTACTCAGGCATTATCAATGTTCTAAAATTCAACTAACATAAATGGTATCTAGAAAATATCCTAAAGAAGTCTCCTTGCTTTCTGAAGTAAAATTTCATTTTAGTGAAATAGCCCATTTAACCTTTCTCAGTATGTGTATTAAGGATGAAAATCTCTCAAAGTAACTTAATTTTTCTCAATTAAATTTAGTTTTGGAAGCAATGTTTATGGAATGCACATTCCAATTCATCCTGTGTTTGCTCACTGTATACACTAGACCAATCAGGACAGACCCAGTTTCTTATTTACATAGGCCACCTGTGTTATTTTTCCTATGGTTCTTCCACAGTCACTAAGCTTAGTCCACACAGAGTCCTCTAGCATACTTACTACACTCATGGGTCCACTGATCTGTTACCCCTATGAGTACTCTACTAATACTTACTTGAGCATTTTAAACTCTTAAAATCAAAGTCCAAGAGACTGTCATACCACAACAGTTTTCCATACAACTCCACTACTCTACAACCAACATATGCTTTAGAGGAAAGTACAGCAGTAAACAAAGTGAGGTTATAATGTACAGTTACATCTCATGAACAGTTTAACATAACAGTTAACAGGTTCCTCCACAATTACTCGAACTCTGTTAAAGCTCTTGATAATGTTCTCATAACAGTATCCAGTCTCTTGTAAAGTCTCATAGAACCTGTTAGTCTAATTCCTTATTATATAGAAATCACCCAAGGGAAGACTTTTCCTTCTGAATTTCTGATTTTGATTTCTGTGAAAGTTTCCACAATTTGGAATTTGTACTGAGCTATAATTAAAGAATTTGTATTTACTCAAATTTAAAGACCAGCAACTTTCAAATATATCAATTTATAAAACTACTACATCCTATAAAACTAATACATTCAGGACAAACATCTTGAGATGCTACACACATGAAGACAACTGATTTTTTTTTTTACACTAAGAGATATATTTTGGACCCAAAATACCAAAATAGATTGAAACTTATGAGCAGCAGTTCTAGAAGAGTCATAGACTAACTATTCTGTTATCTCCCAGAACAAGACATCACTGATTTTACTTCATTAAAAAAAAAAAAATTGCTTCCAATATGACCTAGAAAACCTAAGGATTCTGCAGTGTAGTTCTACTACAAAATTCAAACTGCATAGTTGTAAGCTCTGTCTATATGTATATAGCAGAAATGCTTGTTCCTTCCATCACTTTTCTGGTCACTCACACCTGTCATAAATAAAAGGCCATCCAAGCAATACCACCTTCGTCTAACAAAAGAAATAAGTTTTTCTGCATTATTCATGCCTTGCTCATCAGAAAGACAGCTAATTGAAGTGACATGATATGCTGATTATATTTAAAAAAAAAAAAAAAATTAAAATCAAACCATACCTATCCAAAATTGTGAAAAATTGGTTATGAGATTTTTGTCTATTTGCAGTCAACTTAACTGACGTAGATTCTACCTTCTTTGTATCTACCTACAATGCTTTTTCTCATAGTGCTGAACGTTTGGATATAATTACCTGAAGGGGCTCCAACCCAAGCCAGACCAAGGACTCCATCATCAAAATCACGGTCTGTAAACACATAGGCCAAGCAATAATCATCATGATTCTGTTCCGAGTTCAGTTCCAGAAACTTTTCCACACCAATGTTAGGAAATCTGAAGGGATTGGAAGAGTCCTTCTCATCTACAGTTGTATTAATCTAAAAGTAAATTGAAACCAATTGTAAGACATGACTCATTTTCACTTGACTTGAAAATATCAGCTAAGAGGTTTACTTTTGTCTATACCTTGTTACATTAAATTGTTAAAGATGTTGCAAAAGATTTATAGGCCTTGACAAATTACCACCCCAATATTTGGAAAACCAAGTTCTACAACAAAGAAAGAATTGCGTTCTTTCTTGCATTTTTTTCTTTTCCCTTTCCATCAGTACTCAAAAGGTTATATTTATCCTCTTAAAAAACAACTTTTACAAGGAACTTACAACCTGGATAGCCATCATCTATTTTAGTATTAAAGTTCTTGGAGAACAACATAGTCTGTGCTACATACAGTCAACACTGCTGAAACACAATAAGTTGATTCCTACAAAAACTGACCACAGCTTAAAAACAGAAGTAGCAGGCTTTTGACAATAAACACTAAAACCAACCAAATAAATGCATCAGGGAATCATTTACTGCAGAGACATTTGTGTTACAAAATTACTAACAAAAAATGGTTACAAGTGAACAGCAACTGGACTTTTGAAAAATCCAGCCTCCAAGCAATATCAGTGAAGTTGAAAGTATTTCCAATTCAACTTACTCTTATTCGTTTCACCATGAAGCTGATGTTACGGATTCCTGAGAAATCTGTTGACTGGTAAATTGTGTCAATTGCTTTAACATGGCTGGATATCTGTCAAAAAACAAAAGCATCTACAGATCAAAGATCTATGCACTATGTTATAGCTAATCTTAAACAGAAACAACTGCAAGGCCTATACTTTTACATAAAAGATTTTGTGCCAGATGAACTCTAACAGGCATTTTTAATAAAATGCTGATGGCAAATAATGGAAATAAATCACTTTATAACCTAGTATCTGCATTGCCACCATGCCAGATAACAGAAAGTATTTTGTCATTTGCTTTTTTCTTTTAACACATAATTCTATCAACAATTCAGATACCTGTTTGTGATACTCATGATTCATTGCTATGATAGCACTGTAGTTAAAGTTGTATTCAAAGCACTGTAGTGCTTTTTTTGAGAAAAAAAAATTACTTGGTACAGCATTATTTTTCCACTTCTGGTAGGGAAAAAATAAAAGATTTTTTCCCTTTTCCAAGAGCACATAGAAATACTAACTCATTGAAAATGTGATTTTGAAGGTGACTTCAGAGCTTTGGAAAAAGTTTCTCAAATCAGATTGCATATGTACAGTGTGATGAATAAATAGTAAAAGTCAGATTTGCACGTGGCAGTGAAATTTCAGAGTTCAACAGAACATGTTAGTTATATTTTTAGCAAACGATCAGAAAAAGACCCCAAACACCAAAATGTTTTCCAGTTACTAGTATACTGACAAATGAAAAGCATCTGCCTTTAGTTGCCATTGTATTTTTAACCTTCCACTACATCAGACACTACAGGAACAATTCTCAGTGTCATTAGCTCACAGCTAAAATTTCAAATGGAATGCTATGCAAGTGTTAACACAGAGGCTTGGCAGGCTATCAAACAGAACAGAACTTCTCAGGAAGTATTATTTTTCTGAGTAAGAATTGAGAAGTCAGACTGCAAGTCTTGCTCAAGGTGCTACACAGACCACAACTGCCATTATTAACTAAAGGAAGCACAAGTGCCCGGGACTTTTGTCACAGACACATAGCATCTTTTTAGTGAAACAAAAAAAAGGTATTTCAATCAAGTCAAGAGCACTGTAACAAATGAAACAAGATATTCTAAAGTAAATAAGCAGTAATATACACAATTAAATTACATGAAATTTATCAGAAATACACAAGTAAAAGCAGATAATCTAAAACAAAGGGATTGGAAATACCTGTGCAATTACAGCTTCCCTTGTTCCATAATGCTTGTAGAACAGATGATCAGTCTGAATATACAGCTGACATGTATTTTTTTCAGCCTGAGTGGCACGCTTTTTTCTTAAAAGCTGTGGACCATTGTTCTTAGGCTCTTCAAAAGGCTTCTACATATACACCGGAAAGAAATATATTAATTTTTTAGATCTACATGCTGCACAAGATTACCTAAAAATAGTGATGGATTTTTCTAAACGTATTCCACTAATACAAATGGTTTTTCATTCTTTTTTTTTAACCCAGAAAGTTTCATGAATCTTGAATTAAACTAAGTATGATACAGCCAGTTTACAACTATGCCATCCATTTTTAATGATATCTCAAACCCTTCTGTGCATTTTATTTTATATTACAAAAGGCAGCAAATGTGAAACAGATTTTTTCATTCATGTCATCTTTGGATTTTTTCTTTTTCATAATCCTTTTCTAAGATGAACAAACAGTTTGCAGATTAGGAAAAAAACAGTGCTGTCAGACTCAAATGTACCCTCCCTAACATAGGTTATTTCAAATTGTAATTACCTTAGTCAGATACCTCGGCAAACAGAAATACTTAAGCAGTTCAGTATGGGACAAATGGTACACTAAACATGACATTAAAATAATGCTCATTAGTCAGAGCAGTATCTGCTAACACATTTGCCTTATAGTATTCACTGGCCAATGGTCTGCTCTTTCCATGAAGTTTCACAAGTAAATTTTTCAGAAAGCATGTTACTGTTACCAACACCAAATTGTGTAATACTGTTGATAATTTCTGGAGTCACAATCTAAATAAACTTTTAAATTGTTGATGCTATTTACTATTTAACAAGCCATACTGTGCAGTTTTGTTGGCATATACTTTACTGACAACACAAAATTATGCCAAAACCAGAAATAGCTTAGAACATAGCTAACACTAAGAGAAACTCAATAACTTACTGTTGGAAAGTGTTGGGGGAAAAAAAAAAAAAACAGATTTCATTACAAGTGGTGCAAACCTGAAGGCAAAAAAACTGCAGGACTCTAAACAGGTACACAAGCCTGTTCCATGGACTACTTACCTCCTATTACAGGCAATCTGTAGCACGCTGTAACCCCTTCAATCTTTCAATATTGCTAATATCACTTTATTTACCACCAAAAGCACTTGGATACTCCAAGTGTGTTACATTAACATAACTTCAAAATCTAAAAGTTATTACTCTTCAAGGACCAATATATTACTCAGGGACCTTAAAACTCTTCCTGCTCAACTACAATGAAGTATATTCCTCATCTCAAGCTTGATTTCCGCACCTATCTAAAATTGCAACTACTGAAAAATTTGAGATCACGCAGGATTCATTAGGCATATGAGCTAGCACATCTGTGTTGTAGAAGCAATGAGGAAAATTTAGAAAAATTATGTTAATAAGAAACCTCTAGCAATAACTTAAGTACCTCAGAAAGTGGAGGGATGATGAACAAAAGTAAAAGAGACAATGTACAAGGAAGTTATTACACTAATTTCTAATCAACATAATCCATTAGCCTGTGTTGTACCTCTGTTGTTGGTTCTTCTATACCAGTCATCTGGTACTTCTGCATTCTTTCAAATACTGAATGATCTGCACAACCTCCTTGTGGTCCATATTTATGAGGATATTCTAAAAAGAGGAAGGCCAGGTTGAGTTTTCAAAATTCAAGTACAAGTGCAAAATATGGCTGTATCACTGCAACTTATTCAGATTGTGTCTAATATTGCTCATGTGGTGTGGGGGAAGCATTCTAAGATTCAAGCTTTATGCAGATGTCTTTTTCCATTTAACATTTCTACTAAGATACATTCTTAGTTTTACAAACAGAACAAAACCAACAATTGCTTTTTAACATTGTTTTCTTATAGACAGCAAAAGAAAATATGATGAGCAACATCTAACATAAGAACAAGAGTTACGTTGAACTAACAGCAACCTTAAAAAGAAAAATGAATTCACAATGGAAAATTATTAGAGATGAGGTATACTAAAGACTGCTTGGAAAGAGAAAGGTTTTTTTATTCTATTTGGTAAACTAAAACTAAGAAACCTTGCCAACATTCTTAAAGGATTTTATTACTTATCTTCCAAGGAATTTTTGAAAATTTTTATATTATGTAATTTAACTACCAAATACTTAAGAACTGAAACTCTAATGGTCCTTGGTTTCAAACTCAATTCTACAATTCTAGAATTATGAGTTTGCTAGCAATTTTACTGACAAGCTGAAATGCATGATTTCCATTCTGGAAAGTAAGCGATACAATTAAGGATGAGAGATGAGTGTGCGTATGTATATATATGCATGTGTGTAGACTTAAAACTTAAGAGTTACAGATTACTAAATTTACAGATATATTTAAAACTTACAGGCAAAGTAAAACAAGACTTAAAAGAAACATTTTCATCACCTCCTTACTACAGCTGACTGTTTAAATTTTAAAAACAAAACAGCAGTACTATCTGGGTACACATCAGTTAACACACTGGAGATCCAAACTAGCTCAGTGAGAATATCATACAATTGGCTGCTTACCAAAGATAATTCTTTCAATACTTGTCAACGCAGATCTCATTACATACGTGAATGTGCTTTCAGACAAATATGGTTAAGTTCTGACTGTTAGTATCTACTGAAGAGTTATAAGCAACTCATATTTGCAGAAGCTTCCCCTGGAGATGAGAAGTACTGAAGGGAAGAGGTCTTGCCCCTTCAGTTTCTCTGCAGATTGGATCCCATTATAAACCGGTGCCCCAGTAAAAGATAATGAGCTGGCACTGAGGACTTCATGTCCACGTTATATGCATTTCAGGGGATTTTATCCTAGACTAGCTCTAGTCTGGTTCTGTGGAGCCAAAGCCTGTTAGCAGTTGGAGCACAGTAGATGCACTCTTGCAGTATGCACTCTGGTAGAGTTTCATCTGACAGTTGCCTTTATCTTTGATTCTCATACCCATTTCCTGCAGTCACACTGTATGATTCTGCTAAACTATTTCAACATACAAGCCCAACTTACTTCAGATTTTCTCTTGCATCATTAAAGTCTATACTTCATATTTCAATCACGAAAAGCTAGGGGAAAATTAAATAGCAAATAGGAATAAAAAATTATCATATCCTTGGCATACAGCTGAGTTCTGAAAAAACCAAACCACTTAATATGAGTTTATGCTCCAAAATACCCAAAGACCAGATTCAGTGGACTGATAAGCTTAAAAGGACTAATCAAGAAATAAAAGGAGCCTTTCAACCTTCATTCTTCTCAACCACATATATTCATATGTATTTTAAGAGATCATGTTTAACACTAGTTTTTTTTAAAACTAGTTAATGACAAATGAGGCTAATTTAAACACAGTTATTTTTTTTTAAATTGGGTCCTTTTCCAGGTACAAAGTATTTTACTGCAATTGTAAACTTTGCTTAGTAGGAAAGAACTAGATTTAATAAACACAGTTCTTGGCAAAGAAAGTTTCAATCTAAAAGTAACAAAGATTACATTTGGGTGTAAACAGTTACTCCTTATCTCACTAGCAAATTAATTTTATCTACTGTAAAGGTATCCAAGTACAGTATTCTATTTCAAAATATACTTCTAGTCTGAATTTTAGAGAAGCTGCTCCAACAAACAACAAAATCATATTTTTTTGTGTCAACTTTATGCCTACTCTGTTTTGACTAGAGTTTGCCAACAAGATTATTAGCAAAATCTTGATATTGTGTGGGAGATAATTTGTTTGGATTCTAATAATGTTGTTTCTTTAAATTAAAAAGAAAAAAACCTTTTGAGAGGTAACTGCAATGAATGTGCAGTACTTAGGTTTTTAAAAAAATTCTAGACTTCTGAAGGAACTGGTATTTTCCTTTCACTATGGTACAGAAATATTAATGAATCACTGTAATTAGAACCTTGTAAGATTATTTAATGATTTTCTGCATATTAGTTTCCCACATTTCAATTCTTAACACCACACACATAGAATTTTTGAACTGCTGTCTCATCACATTCCTCCCAGTACGGTTAGCCCTTGCACAGTGCCAGAAGAATGAAAACAGTCATAAAGAGAAAAAAAATGCTCTTATTGTAAACTACTTCCCCCCATTTGATTAGCAATGTAGTGGAACACTGGCTTTGCCTTAACCAGTATTAAACAAAAAGCACAGCTCACTCACTGTTGAGGTCATATGTACTTTTTGGGATCCTTTTTACTATCACTAGATTGGAGTTAAGAGGAAAGGATTATAGATATGATCCTTCCCTCCTCTATCTCCACAACTTTTTTTTTTCCCTTCCCACAATAGTAATTAAAAAATTGTACTGTACTTAGTCTAACTAAAATTCTCATTACTCAGCATTCGATTTCACATAGCCTACCAGTCATCTCTGTGACAAAAACACATTGCACAAGGGCGGGAGTAATGGACAATACTGCCTCACCACTGGCATCACCGTACTTTTATTCATACTCTGTGGCATTATGACAATTGACAGAATAGTACTAGAAATAAATGTTCTCAGTGCATTACACAAAATAAGCAGTCTTTCCTCTGTATCTTGTTTTCCAGAGAGGTTAGGAAATCCCTTATTACCTTTTTAATACTGACTGCCTGCAATTCAAACAATATTTCTCACTTCCAAGGTAATAATCTAGTAAGAAACACTTTGAAAACATGACAGTTAAAATTATAAAGAATTGAACATGAAACAGTCTGCAACAGCAATTGCCAGGGTTTTTTGCATGTGCTGGAAAAGACGAATGCCCCATGGACAGATTTTAATCCACCCTGTTAAACACAGGAGACAGGTAATATAGGATAGTTCACTTTGGAACCTCTGCTAACTTACAGAGAAAGTTGCATACAAAGCTTTCTTTTGATAAATGCTGCATTACCCCCAAACCATGAAGGCACTGTTCCCTCTTCATCCTTTGAGACTTCCTATTTCCACCATGCCCTGCAGCAGTTTCATTTCTGGAGCTAAGCAGGAACTACATGCTGTCAGATGACTTGGACAGTTTTGACCCACATCACAGAGGTCTGTTCCATGTTCTTGTGACGCTTTTAAATGCCCTGAGAGGTATAGCCTTCTGCTAGTTCTCTGGGATCAAGAGCTTCTTAGCCTATTCCTACCACAACCCTCTGAAGTGATCAAAGAAAAAGCACACGCCTTCACCATGAAGTGATTGCTTACAGTGAATGCAGAGCTGAGGAAAAACTAGAAGCCTACTTTCCATTAAATCTATAAAAGAAGAGTTTAATTACAGGATCAATTCTCTAACTAGAGAAAATCCTCAGGCAAAACAAATACTTTATTTTTCTTTTCCTGTATTGTCCAGTTTCCCATTTTCCGCTTTCAATTTTTGTACATCCTGACATCACGTTAAAAGAAGTAAACAATGACAGTAGTAATAACATAATAAACCTTAAAAAACCAACAAAAAATCTTGTCATTTCATACTTTCTGACAATGATTTCTTATTCTAACTAGATGGCAGATCATTATTAATGATATACAAAACTACAGATGCTCAAAATAAGAATTTTTATCCTGATCATATAAATTTTTGTCGTTTACTTGTCAGTAAATAGTATGATCTGTTAAGCATTTAGGTTATCTACTTAATGGATACTGGATTTAGGCATCTGGGGCAAGGATATGACATCAAACTTCTATTAAAAATTATGAAAGTTCAGTTCTTCAGTCATTAGCAAAAGCAATAGTATCAGAGCAAAATTCAAACTTAAACAGATAAAAAAACCCCCTTATTACAGATTTCATTCTAAACAGCCTGTCACCCTGTGTGCCCATGACAACTGACAAGCAGACTTTCATTAATAAATTGACAACCACAATATGAAAAAAAAACCAAACCCAAGTTCTCACTAATAATACATAGTTTGCAATGGTCTGTTCATTTAACAAGTAGAGCTTTGCAAAATTACAAAATACTTTACTTTCTGTTCTCAGTTGTATAGTTCTTCCAAGACCATAAGACAATTAAATGACCATGTTTATTTTCCGTAAGGTCTGAACAGGATTTTCCTGTCTACTGTTCATCTGAGGAAATACCAATTTTGCATTTTATGGTATGAACTTGGGGATACATTTGAAGCATATACAATTTAAATAAAGTAAATATAGCTCAAATTAAATACTAATCCTTAAAGACAAGTTTCCAAAATATTTTAATTAAAATAGCAAGTTGCATCTTTCCAGCATTAAATTATAGATCTGTTTCATCAACAGCAGTTTAGAAACTAAAATCAGCTTGTGTTTTGAGACATGAATAGAAAGCTGCCTTCCACTGGTCACCACATCAACAGACAAAAGCTGCCTTATAAAGTTGACAATATAATCCCCATTTATTAAAAAAAATAATAATAAAATAAATCTTTTGTTTAACTACTGAATAAGAACTCATTGAGATGCTAATCATACGTTGCATTGTATTTCTGAAAAGCACTAAAAAGCATATTGTTTCAAAAGACTGAAACATGAGCGACCAAAAAATATTCCAAATCAAAGTGAAAACAGTTACTTCCCAGTCTCTCCCAAGCTAGAAATATGAGCATTTCTGTTGTCCTGTGTAAGATACTAGTGGTTTGACTCTTATTTCACAAGAGTTAGCTTTAGATTAGAGAAACAACACCAGATTTGCATACTTGATTTTACTTTTAAAGCTACCGTAAAGTTTAGGTTTTTTAGTTGTTGTTAGGGTTTTTTTGGAGCTGCAGTTCAATGCAAAAATAGCTCTCATGAATGGCAAAAAAATTTTAGCCTCAAAAGCACTATTCAGAAAGTGACAGAAGCAGTTGTATACTTTGGATATTTCAGACCACAGGAATCCAGAGGCATCTAGGATACCAATGAAAAAAGTTAAACTATACAATCAGAATGCGTGCCCATCAGACTCTGCATTGACAGCAACCAACGGTAGCGGCACATTTTCAAACAGTGCTGCTTAAACTTAGCTCCAGGATGGGCTATTTTCAACCATGCTGAGCAAGCAGCAACGTTCACTCACTTGATTTGGAAGCCATATTGTACTGCTGCTTTAACGTGGCTCTCTGGGATAGATTTAGACAATCCTTTCTGAACATCCCATTTTGTTTCTAACTGATGTTTTTGATGCACTAGATTCAAGAGGAAAATCAGTGTAAGCCAATATACTATCATCTGAAAAATTAAAAAATACACATTCTGCTCCCATTCACTTTAAAAAGACATTAATATGAACCAATTTCATCATCAGCTTTTTCCAGCTCTCAAGTGATCCATTCACTCCTCCAATAGAGATCACTGCTACAAAACAGCAATACTAACTTTCATAAAATCAGATTACCTGTTTCTTTAAGGTACAGGTCTATTTCTGTCATTAGTTGACAACAGTGAAGAGTATTTTTAGTCATCCACTATTTACAGCATAAGGAACTGGGACATGAGACAACCTTCCTGCTTATCTCGCCTCTTGGAAATTTGGCAAATTACTGCCTTATGTCCTTTACTTTCCTCCTCCCCCTGTTTTCTCTAGCAGACTTTATAAAACCCTTTGTAAAGCAGACAGTGACTTATTTCAGAAAGTCCTATGTAAGTGGTAGTCCAGTATTCCCCCTATTAAGCAGCGAATTGAACTGTTTGGTGAGACCTATAAAACATACCAAAGAACTTAGAAGTATGTGCAAATTATTCACAGAAATGCTGTTATAAAAAGACATACCTGGCTTCACACCAGGTTTTTCTATTTTTTTTTTAAATTACTTTCTCCCAGTACTCTTCTGTTACAGCAGCAAACCCTGTAATACTCCCAACAGCAGTTAGAGGGGCAAACTGCCTTCTCAGACTTTCACCTGCAATGCTCTTTAGAGCTGAAAATTAAACACATGCTGCAACTTCTCTCTGAGAATCAAAAGCAATGTATGGAACGCTATCCTGTAGTTACTTTATTCTCAAATATGGCTCTTGTAAGCACCAGGAAAATATATATTTAGTCAGTCAGAAAACAAGTGTAGCTCACAATGTACATAGAATTCAATAATATAAATGCTGTATATGCATTTATATTATATATATACAAAATGCTTCTGTATTCATTCAGAAGCTCTTTAAAAGCATGCAACTTCTATTTGATTTTGGTTAGTAATCATGCTTACAGAATGGCATACCAGGAAGGACAAACATATCTGCTAGCTCACAGCAATTTTAACATACTCAAAGAAAGCAAACATACTACCACTGAATGTAAAATACAGCTCTACTCCAGAAGCTTTATTCAATTAGAAAAATAAACAAGATTTGCTGAGTTTTTAGCAGAGAAAGAGAATTTCTTTTTATTGCATTCATGCAAGAGAAGTAACCAGAGAGAGTATTAAGGAATAACTCTTTCACTGGCTTACAGCACAGAGAAAATGATAATATATAAAGCCAAATCACAACCTGATATTTTCCTTATCTATCTTCCTATTTTGACATTTTCACAATACAGTATCACTATGACACACCTTGAAAATGATTTATACATGCATCATCATGAGAGTGGTTCCAGTAATTTCTACTGATCTAACCCAAGACTCTTCAGCCAACTCCAAACAAGATTTCAAACTCACCTCTTTTAGGATTTGCACAATGGCCTGATGGGACAAGTTTTAGAATGAAATTACAGTTTAAATTGATTTTTAAGCAAGACTGAAGTCCTAGATAAGGTTATCTTGCAACACACAACTTGTTAGCTCCGTTAACCAAAAGATAATCTTAAAGCAACTTTCTGTCAACGTCTACTTGGAAGGATTGAAACTTGGAATCTCAGCTTTATTGCAGTATTTTTGGGGGCTAGCACAAAATTACTTAAGCATCAAATAAAAATAATTTTTATTACAACTGAAGACTGACCATACACAAAGAGGCAGGTAGAGTGCAAGAGAACTCTTGATACATCAGTTCTGAAGATGCAAAAGTATTCCATGGTATTTTCACATCCTTCTGGGTGTTTACAACTAAAGCTAGGCCTCTGGGGTTATACTCTTCAAGTAGTAGTCCCTGTACACTTCCATCAACTACTCTGTAAAATGGGACATACTGGTTGCCACTACAACCTCAAGAGTTCTCTGAAGGCATCTGTGACCTACTCATGCAAGGGTAGATTTAGGTAAACGCTTAGTGACTTGAACTTTAATTATCCTTTATTTTGCATACCACAGGGAAGAACAATCAGTATAGAGCATTTTAGGAACGCATTTTTCAAAAGAAACATGTACCCACTGAGTAGAAAATATGCCGCTTATAAATGTAAACCTGACTGCTAAAGATTTCTTAAAATGGCAGAATAAGGAAGACTCACTTTGGTTTGCCATAAATTTCTTTAACATCATAACTGTATATTAATCACTTCAGGACAGCATGATTCATAGTGTCATACATAAGCCTACAAATGGCTTACAGTTTTTGACATTTAATAAAAAAAATTTATTTCATCTGTAGCACAAAATGGAAGTACTCACTGATATCATCTTCATGATAAATGACAGAGTGGAACGGTAGAGTTTTGTCCTTAATGTATCTCTCTGCTGGCTCAATATAAAAGGTCCCGCTATGAGTTTGGATGAATCCTTCAAATTTTCCATCAATAACAGATCCATGGCTAAGACTTCCCTGCTCACCTGTTATGGGAAAAAGTGCATTATTTTTTTATATATACCTTTCCAAAAGCTTTCAGTCTTGTGCAGACTTCAAGCATACACTCTATCCAAGGTGTTAAGCAGACAATGCTAAAGCATGATACTTATGTAATTATCCTGACTGTGCACCAGTTCTCAAATGCTAAAAACCTATATGAACTACAGGGTAATAAGATTCTGGATAACAGCAGTAAGACATTATTGCAGAAAGTTTGTGTCTGAATTTTTAAGACTAGGATTATTCAACATACAGTTATCCCAAAAATCACAGTTACTAAATTCAATAACTTCCTAATCAGGTGCCTAAATGACATGTTTAAAAAGCATATTCAACTCCATATTTTAAAGCTGTCACATATACAGTATATAATCCTACATCCAAGACCTGCCACACATCTATTCATACAATTATAAAATTAAAAAAAAAAAAAAAAAATCAGTGTGCATAGAAATTTGAAAGCTTTCAAAGAAAGATATCCCTATATTCAAGACATCCATTTCTCTCTTCAAGCACAAGCCTCTTAAAACTGTAGCTAGGTTTAAATGTGGGATGCAGTGAACTTGTATTTGAAATAGTCACAGTCTAGAAAAGTACAACTGTCAAAGTCTAATCATTGACAACTACAATATACAGCATCCTCAACAAGCCTTTTCCATAAAAAGGATTAAAGATTACTAAAATAATGTTTATATATTCCTCCATTAAGGAGGGTTCAGAATCACACCACCAAATTATCAGATCTGTACTCATTCTTATCAGTATCCAGCATTAATTTCTAATTAACAATTATTAAAAAAAAATTAAAAATCTCATACACAGTAATGAAATTTGGAAAAAGTAGCTTGAAGATATGCCATACAACTCTTAAGAGAGAATAAACAGTAGAAATAGGCTTTGTAGAATGCTAATTTTAAGATATTCTTAAGTGAACTCAGATTTACTTCAGACTATATTCCATTAGATCGTGCATTAATATCCTGAATTTATAAGCCATGTATCTTTGGAAATTTCAGAGTACTTGGAAGGAAGACTCTTGATCTGAATGGAAATCAAAAACCAACAGCAAAAGGGTTTATTTACTTAACTAACTTTGTTCATGATCTTCATGACAAGTACAAAGGTGGGTTGAATGAGAAAGATAAAGAGGAGTAAAAGAAAATGTAAAATAAACCCAGTGAGTAGATTCATGTGGATCCTTTAATCTCATCCTTCAGTAATAAGAACTAAAAGCTTTTCTGAAATAATTTCACAAAATAAGAAAAAAAAAAAGCAACAAAAGACCACATACCTTTAAAAGCCCTCTGACCTACTTAAGTCAACTGATAAATTGGTCTATCTAGATGCGTATAAAGCGTATACTTCTTCTTGCAGTTTAAAACAGTCACTTCAAGACTGTAGGACATTACTGACAAAGACATACAAAGAGTATGCTCATAAACAGAGCTGACTTCAAATTCTATAGGCATGAAAATTATTAGGTAAAATATTGATTTGTTAAGTGTGATTGCGACATGAGAGTAAAAGCAGATGGAATCATAGAATGGTTTGGGTTGGAAGGGACCTTAAAGATCATCTAGTTCCAAACCCCCTGCCATCAGCAGGGACACCTTCCACTAGACCAGGTTGCTCAAAGCCTCATCCAACCTGGCCTTGAACACTTCCAGGGAGGGGGCGTCCACAACTTCCTTGGATAACCTGTTCCAGTGTCTGACCACCCTCACAGTGAAGAACTTCTTCCTAATATCTAATCTAAACCTACCCTCTTTCAGTTTAAAGTCATTTCCCCTTGTTCTATCACTACCTGCCTTTGTAAAAAGTCCCTCCCCAGCTTTCTTGTAGCCCCTTCAGGTACTGGGAGGCTGCTGTAAGATCCCCCCAGAGCCTTCTCTTCTCCAGGCTGAACAGCCCCAACTCTTTCAGCCTGTCCTCATAGCAGAGGTGCTCCAGCCCTTGGATCATCCTGGTGGCCCTCTTCTGGACTCGTTCTAACTGGTCCATGTCTCTCTTGTGTTGGGGGCTCCAGAACTGGACACAGAACAGTTTAAATGCATTTACATACATTACTAAAGTTTAATAATGAAGACAGCTTAATCATACAGATTATAATTTTCCTCCATGTACTATTAAAAAAAAAATCTTGTTTAAAATTACTACACTTGAATCCATTTTAAAGTGTTGTACTTACCGTAAATGTGTCCAGTGTAAATATGGGAGGTATCATAATCAATAACTTGGTTTGATATTTCTACTTTAAAGTCATCACTAAAAAGAGATGTATCTCTCTTCATTCGAAGGTTGAAGTGTCTAAAGTGAATAAAACAAGATGGTAAATTGGCTTTGAACTTCAGTTGCAAGAGCACTAAGCAAAGTACTTCTAATCAACATTTCTGTGCAATTTGCCGATCCTGTAAAATTTACTTATACAAATTGTTTATACTGTACTAGAATTAGACCATAGCCTAGATGGATTTTCTTAAGCAAGATTATTTAGATGCTTTTGACACAAGTAGCTAAATTTACAAGATTTAAGCCAGAAAACAGGGTTAGACTTAAATGCATAAATCTATAATGCTGACTTTGAGTATACACTTGTTCCCGTTCCTCCAGAAGACACAGATGTAGCTTAAGGGAAAAAGCAACTATTGTATTTCATAGCACTGTGAAGCAGGAGAAGGACAACTATCATCTTATTGTCCTTTCATTGCCAACATGTAAACAAAATGTAGGTAAGCCAATTACTGTTTCAACAGAAACTCAAAAAACAAGACAGGCAACAACATTTAATAAAAAATACTCAAACTGGTAGGGTTACATGCACGACTATGTAAACAACTGCTCATTGAATGATCTTGCTCAGATTACAATACTACATTCGTTGATGCAAATCCTCCCGTTCATCTTTATGTAAAACATACTACATTTTCTTCGTACAAAAACAAAAGTTTGGTTAAGTTAAATCAAGCAACATAGCGGAAGTGTTTTAAAATGCCTGACAAGTGAACTCATACCTGTGACAACAATTAGCTTGCTTCAGAATTTCATTTTGTATTCTCTTAAAGTTTGTATAAACACATTGTGCAAATACAGATCAGTGAAGTTGTTGAAACTTCAGTCATTCCAATTTTACTCTCGATTTTCTTCCTATATTTTTCTCTTTCTGCACAATCACAAAATTGAAGGAGTATTATAGTTATGACACCAATTTGTTACACAAAAAGTAATTCTGGTAAGTTGACTACATTTGTGTCAGTGTCTTCATCTAAAAAAAGTGACCAGTCTCTCAGTATACACAGTATACTTATGAGATAGCTGACTTTCCATATTGAAAGCTAGTTTCCAACAGGGCTGACAGAAAAATAACCAAAACAATTAAGCACCACAGTGTAAAGTCAAATAAATCTGATTACTTTTTAGTATAGCCAAAGCATATACAAAATATATCTTCAGTATTCACTTGCACATTAAATAATATGAAACTATAGTTTTAAGTATTTTGAAACAACTGTACATTAAGATGCAAAATTCAAGATCAAAGATAAAAGCCATGTCTACGCTAAGGGTTCTAGTGACTCACGTTTAATATTCAGTAATGTAAACAGTACTCTACAATCAAACTATCTTTATTTGTTATTGTTGCCACAGTATTAATAAAGCTTCAAAGCAAGTATTCTCCTCTAGTGATGTGTTAGAGAGATCTGCTACAAGGTGATGAAATTCTGAAATGTGGCTGGTAGATGGGGAAGATTAAACTTCAGCACTTCTCTGTGACTCTTGGGTTTAGTGTCATGCTAACCACTGCTTGTATTATAGTTTCAGTATGGATTAATTTTATGAGGGCAGATTATCCTGTTAAAAAGGAAGAAAGAGTTCATTACATAGAGATAAAAAAAAAAAAAAAAGAATTCTTCTTTAAGTTAGTCTCCTTACCAGCTCTGTAAAACTGTCTTTTGGTAACATAGAGGTTCATGAGGATGAGGAGATAACTGAATAGGATGGTGGGGGGAGGCAGGTGGGGAGGGAGAAAGACTTAAGCCACCTTGTGTAGCTCTTCTGAGCACGTTAGAAATGAACAGCAGGCAGGGGTAAAAAAAAATTAAAAAAAAAAAGAAAAGAAAAGAAAAGAAAAAAAGACCAGCACTCTTGAAGAACTTCATTCAAGTACTTTGAGAAGTTCTACTCACGTTGGTTGTAATACACTGCTCAAGATGTAATACAGATTTTAACTCCATTTTAGTTTGAGTTTTTTCCCTGTGACCGAGTTCTCCAGGGTTACTGAGGATGGATCAGACTCTCTTCAAGTGCATCTGAACTGAAGTTAAATGACAAAAGATCCTGGATACTTCAGAATAGCTCTCTTCTTTTCTCTAATATTTGCTGGAAGACTTCTTACCATAAGTCATCTATAATTCTGTCTCTGTGATAAGCTGAAGTATCTACTAATCTCAGCAAGTGCACCTATTATGGCTAAAATTGCTTTTTCCTGGTAAAAAAGTAGGTATTCTGAAAAAAACCCAACTCTATATAGCACTTTTCTCTCAGAAGTCTGAAAAAGTTCCTTTAAAACTAGATTTTTCTGGTTGTATTAATGTAATTTTCAAATAAAATTGAAAAGCAATTATCATCTCTGGCACTCAACTACATCAGCAATTTCTTGATTGTTTTGAAGTATACTATGTAAGACAATGCAGGTCTTCTCATAGTAACTCCAGACATGCCAGTGAAGTAGGGAAAAATGGACTTCATCTCAGAATGAAAGTAATTTACCAAGTTTAGCCTAAAATAACAGCAAGTAGATGAACTAGCCCCTATGCCTCAATTGTGAAGCCATGCAGGGTGTCCTCTCCTAAGCTGTCAAGTCATCCATGTTCTCATACTTACCAATTAGCATGACATTCAGCATTGCACTTCTGGAGCTCCATTTTTTACTATCACAGAATCACAGAATGTTGGGGATTGGAAGGGACCTCAAAAGATCATCTAGTCCAATCCCCCTGCCGGAGCAGGAACCTAAACAATTTTACACAGGAAGGCGTCCAGGCGGGTCTTGAATGTCTCCAGAGAAGGAGACTCCACACCCTCCCTGGGCAGCCTGTTCCAGTGCTCTGTCACCCTCACTGTAAAGTAGTTTTTTCTCAAGTTTAAGCGGAACCTCCTGTGTTCCAGCTTACACCCATTGCCCCTTGTCCTATCGTTGGGCATCACTGAGAAGAGCCTGGCTCCATCCTCATGACATTTGCCCTTAACATATTTGTAAACATTAATTAGGTCACCCCTCAGTCTCCTCTTTTCCAAGCTAAAGAGATCCACCTCCCTCAGCCCTTCCTCATAAGGGAGATGCTCCACTCCCTTAATCATCTTGGTGGCTCTGTGCTGGACTCTCTCAAGCAGTTCCCTGTCCTTCCTGAACTGTGGGGCCCAGAACTGGACACAATATTCCAGATGAAGCCTCACCAGGGCAGAGTAGACGGGGAGGAGAACCTCTCTTGACCTACTAACCACACCCCTTCTAATGCACCCCAGGATGCCGTTGGCCTTCTATCATCTAAATACACTTCAGGGTCAGTTTTGAGTTTTGCCTAGATGGCCTGTACTACACAACTGTGCTTTTGGAAAGGTAAAGGGAAGTTCAGTAGAGTCTATCAAAGCTGGGAATGGTTCTTCCTTCAATATTACCCTACCTGTCACTTCATAGTGGACTGCTAGAAATTTTATGCACCAAATGAAAAGTTTCACTAGTTTTAATTTTAAGACAACTCTATTCTCCTTTCATTTTCCCCCTCTTCTTACTTTCCATGTTGGTACATGACTAACACTAAAAATTCTAACCCATGCTGTTAATTTTATATTTATTAATAAAATTAGCTCTATTTATAGGATTAGAGAACTATTTCAAACACAAAGTAACACAACTGTGTTTCACAATAACAATTCTCTGACTTCTTATAAGTGTCAGTGAAATTAACTGCACTGAAAAGATGCCAGTTTATAGGTGGGAAGACTCCAAATTGTAATAACTGATTCAGTCATCCAGTAACTTCATGAATTCTTCTGAGGACAGGAGACTCCACAGAAGCTCAACAAATTTGTCTATAACATTCCTGAACACTGTTTCTAAAACTAGCTACAATGGAAGAAATAAGCAGCTTCAAATAAGCCTTTTGGTAATTACTATTTCTACAGAATGCATTGAGTTCTCTGTGCCAGCACCTGTTATCAGTGTAAACTAAGGTATTCCCTAACCTAGCTACACACCACACAGAAGGGAACTATTTCCAGAGAAATAATGGTTCATTTATTTACACACTTAATACCTTGCATAAGACATTTCCCAGCAGTAGTTGTCTCTAGAATAAAATTCAATTGTTTAAGATCAAGTTTTTGACCTTGCTTTATTTGTTACTGCTTCTGTCTTACACATACCTGAAAACTGATATGATAACAGGCTATTACTTGGTTACTTACAGTTGTTTGGTTGAAGCCAGGATTTTTGATAAAACTTAATATTGTTATATAATCTGTTTTGATAATAAACTACATCTTATTAATCAATGGCAGTACCCTGAAGACTATCAAGAGGTAGACTTTTATATGCTTAGCTAAAACCCAGCAGTTTCCCACAGGCTCGAGTTATGTCAATCCTATGCTCTAATCACAGAGCAAATGCATAAAAAAAAAAGTTGTGTGTATATACTGACAGCACTTGGCAAAATGAACATAAAGGTGTACACGTAAGAGTTAATACTTCATCTATTATTCCATTTCTTTTCAGGATGAGTTACCTTCTAAGATCAGTGATTTTGCCATGATGAAATGTCCAATATACTGGGACACTGACAGGAAGTCTGCAGAGTGTTTTCCAAAACTGGCAGAAAGAGTTATTATCAGTAGTATACAAAAGGGCACTCGGTGCTTTCCCTTTCCTACCTTTCCTCAGTCAAATTGCAGTAACCAGTGACAGGCTGAGCAGGCAGAATCACTCAGAGACCAGAGGAGACTGTTTACAAAACCGAAAAACAACAAAAACCCACCCTCACCCCCCTGTCCCCCCACCCTCAAAAAAAGAAAAGAAAAAGAAAAAAGGAGATGGAGGAGTTGCCCCACAGCTGGAAGAAGTGGTTGGGAAAAAGAAACAGAAGGTGATGGGTTGGTGGCAGTACGAAATGTGACTCCAGTACAAAGAGTCCATTTAGGTTCACGCTCTTTTCTTCTCAGTTGGAATCAGACAAATCTTTGCAGTTGTGCCTCCATGAGCCATCTCACAAGTCAGGATCTAGAAGATACTACTCTGCTTGAAGTGCAAGTCT